AAAACCTTATTTTGGTAAGGGGGGTTATTTAACTCCTTTAACCATTAGACTAAGGAAATGTATTTTAAAAAGATCATAATAAATAAATTTTTGCAATGAGTTAATCTACTTGCCAGAACCATGACCTGGAATGTTATGCCTACCCCCAAAGATTTATGTTAGAAATGTAAAAGTAAGGGCTCCTTGGCCATTTAGAACTGCCCAGATGCAAACTTCACACTGTTGCGACAATTAGCTTGATTATCGTCCAATTGCGCGTTTTGACTTAATAATCACCAAATATGGACAATTTTTTTGTTGAGCAAAGTGTCGTTGCAAACTCGTAGTCTACTGCTGGGGGCTGTAATAAATACCATACTGGTTTACTTGTCCACAATTGCATGATGAATCATAGCAACTACAGAGTTACTCCTCTTTGCTCTCACTTTACTGTGTTTACTGTGTGATTTGGTTGGTAAAATGTGACCCAATTAATTGTACAATCACTTATGGGGACAAAAGCCCTTCCATGAACCCATGTACATCCTTTTCTCTGTAATCTGTGCATTAATGGACCTTTATGGGAACACGGCAGGATTTTATCCCCAAATTCCTTGTGGATATTCTGTCTACCATCTCATCACGTAATTTCTTATGCCCGGATGCTTCCCTGCAGGGTTTTGTGTTGCACTCCTTCAAGTGCTGCTGATTTCTCTCTTTCTAGTGGCAATGGCTAACATGACAAGATATGTGGCTATAATGTCGGACCTCTGGTAATACCACTCTGTGATGCTATAGCAAAGAGTTTGTGTATTTTGTGTTTTTTGCTTGGCCTTATACCCTCATTTTTTTTTTTTTTGTTTTTTTTTTTTTGCTCTGACACTGAATAAGTACAATAACAACATCAATATCAAGGTATGCGGCTTCACCCAGATACCAAAAATTTACTGTATTAATTTTTTGATTGGTAAAACTCCAGCTTTTCTTTCCTCCCCATAAAGCTAAATGTTACTTGTTCCAGCTTTCTTAATTAATACCTTTTTGATGCTGGCCATTTTAATTTTTATTAATTTCTGTCCTATGTACTGTCTGATCAAAACACTGCCAAAACAATCCAAGAGAACAGCGAGTAATTTACTGGCAGACATGTTTGCCGCATTTATTCTGTTTTATTATTGGTTTTTGTATCTCTGGCTTTTGATTTGTTATATGTGCGATTTGAGCTCTAAAAGACCTTATCACAAAGTGTCCAGAATTTTATGGCCGATAAGAATTCTCTCTTTATCCTCCCAAGTCATAAACTCCCTCCTCATATATGGTTTCAAATTGACAAAAAATAAACACACATCAGCAATTATAAGTTTTTTACCGGTGGTAAAAGCGTCCTCCTAAGACTGTACACCATCATCATCTATTATGGCTGTCTTTGTCATAGTGATGCTTGTTTATACAATCACAAAATGTATATCTTAAAAAGACAAACATTGCTGAAACAGTGTTTTACTTAAAAATTTAGTGTTTCAAGGCCATACAGATGTTGATGACCTTCAACAATAAATTCATTTCATGAATCACAATCATGCATTTCTTGAATATTCTATTGCTAAATTTACCAAATCAAAGGTTTACATTCTAAAGGTAGCTTTGAGAAAACCATACTGGAGCTTCCATTCCATTAAAGTAAGAGTAACTTTATTCTTGTTTACCACAGTCTGACAGTGCGGCTCACAACCCGCACTTATGCTCCTCAGGTAATATACGCAATTGTTGCCACTGATTCTGAGAAATAGCAAAGGGCCCCGTCCATTAGGGGCTGTCTGATTTTTAAAATCTTACATGTCACTACGTAAGTGATGGATGAAAACTTCTGCAAATGCAGAAAGAGAACCACGCATCAGGTCTGCCAAGTCCGGCCTATCAAAATCCCATTGGTCTCAATTTCTGTATCCAAGTACTTTAAAATGCTTTGTGTTGGCTAACATACAAGTCTGTTGTGCCAGTTCTTAAACTTACTACCATGTTGTATTTTACCATTATGTATATATATATATATGTGTATATATGTATGTATGAATGATGGTCAGATGAATCTGGCATTTGTTGTAATTATTCCTCCACGTGTTACTGGACCAATGATCAGAGTTTGAATTCCAATCTGATTTGCTGTCGTAGTCAAAGCTGTTATTAATAGCTGTGACCAGAGACAGAGTAGCAGAGTGTCAGCCTGCACTCTGTAACCACCGTCTGTATGTTGTACCACTGCACAGGTAGAATTTGAAGATTTAATTGGTGAAATTTTTTCTCTGATCATGGAAAATATTTCTGTTGTAAGAATTTTCACTCTCTCAGGTTTAAATGAAACAATGAATTACAGAATCATTATCTTTTCACTTACTTTATTGTATTATTGTGTGATTTTGTTTGTCAATATCTCTCTCGTCACGATTATTATCTTAGATGAAAACCTGCATGAACCTATGTACATCTTATTGTGCAGTTTTTGCATTAATGGACTTTATGGGACCACAGGTTTCTACCCTAAATTCCTCTTAGATCTACTGTCTAAATCTCATGAAATCTCATATGAAGGGTGCCTTTTACAGGCTTTTGTCATGTACTCATTTGCTTGCTGTGATTTGTCCATTCTAGCTGTTATGGCCTACGACAGATATCTGGCTATATGTCGACCACTGCACTACCACTCTTTCATGACTAAGAGGAGGCTCTCTCAGCTGATATGTTTCTCCTGGTTAACACCTTTCTGCATTTTCTTTGTCAGTATTATACTAACATCTACACTGAAGTTATGTGGTTCAAAAATAGAGAAACTCTTCTGTGTGACCTGGATAATTGTTAAACTGGCTTGCCCGGACACTAACACTGTTCCAAACAATATTATTTCATATTCAACAATATTCATATATGTGTCTCATGGGTTGTTCATAATGTGGACTTACATCCATCTTGTTATAACTAGTGTGAGGTCCAAAGAAGACAGGGTGAAGTTTATGCAGACATGTGTGCCCCATTTAGTCTCTTTATCCACATTTCTTGTTGTAATAGTTTTTGATTTGATGTACATGCGATTTGGTTCCACAGATTTACCTCAAAGTATTCAAAACTTAATCGCTATAGAATTTATGCTTATTCCTCCTGTTATGAATCCTCTAATATACGGATTTAAACTGACCAAAATACGAAATAGAGTTTTAGGTTTAATCTATGTTGACAGAAAATGACTTCCTTCCATTAAGTGTAAACTCTTATTTATTTAACATGAACAATACAAATACACATTTGTTTCATAGGTAGAAGTAATGTTCTAATGTATAAAATCCATATATTTGCTTTAAGATATATTATGACTTTGTTGAGGACTACAGCCCTCAATACTAACAATGTGTTTAACTTTAACATTTTGATAATGTTTAATGCTTTATGTAATGTGAAATAAATACATGCAGTACTGTAACATTTAGCTCTTGTATCAGAGCTTTTTGTAAATACAATTAATGGAATATTTGTTACAGCACAGCCATGATATGAGTCATTTATTGGAGCTCCTCTGAGATTAAACAACTGCTTTCACAGGCTGAGTAGTCAACATAACTATTGATTTTTATGTGTAAAATGTGTAGAGACATAGCTCACATTTTCCAAGTAAAGCCACACCTGAGCTCCGTCCAAACCTGTAACCACCCGGGAGGAGCCAGCAAGCACAGAGCCTCCAACTTTCAGCCATGATGTAGTCCAGTCAGCCTCAAGTTGCCACACTTGGTTTGCAGTAGATTAAAAACATGAATCACTGTATTAATAGACCAGGCTGACATCCTAGCAGCATTATCAAGTATCTTATTGGGTGTACTGGAATCTGAATACCTTATTCAAGTTTTAAACTCTACTTGATTAACTGAACAAAATAAGTCAAATAGATCCATTGTGAACTGGCCAATACCGACTGAAGAAGGGCGTGTTGTCTGAAACGTCTGTGTGGCAAAATGAAAAGTTGAATGGAAGTTCTTTGCTCATGAAATTATCACCAGGCCACACAGACCAAATTTACTAGTAGCCTATTTAATTTATTTATTATCTATTTAAATCAAGATTTTGTGATCACTGATTTGCTGTAACATTTTCCGCTACCTTAAGCTTGTTAAAAGTACAATTATGTAAATTATGTATGTAATTTTTCCTGCTTCTAACACATGAACTTGATGACAAAATGTTCACTTGCTGTATCATACATCCCACCCACTGACAGGAGCCATGATAACAAGATAATCAGTGTTATTCATTTCACCTGTCAGTGGTCATAATGTTAATGGGAAATTTCTAATATGCGTCTGATAATTTAATTATAGCTGATGAATTATTGGTCCGATAATAACAATAACAGAAATGAAGCCCAAATGCTTTGCATAACAGTTCAAAATTCTTAATGTCACAATATATACTATGTAAAATAAACAAATATTTGAAGAGTCAGAACTGTTTGTTTTTTGTTAACAATAGTGATGTCAGGGAGAGGGAGACGACATATTAACTTCCAGTCATGAATGAATGAAATCCTGTTTTAACGATGCTCCTCAAAATCCAGACAGTTTTAGGGAAGAGTGGGATTGCTCTCTTGTTCAATAATTTCCAAACATCTCTAGGTTTTTAAAATCTGAACAAAAACTAAACTCTAGACCAGGGTTAGGCAATCTGCAGGGCTTCTTCAGTCTCGCTCTTGTGACTCCCTGTGGCTTTAACCAAAAATATTCATGTTTTACAATTGTAAACATATGATGCCATTACACAGACTGTCATGTACGTCATATATTACGTCCTGAGCTGGTGTCTTCTTTTACCGAACCTCAATAGTGGTGGCTTCCTGCTTACCGGTATGTTTGAACCCCAGGGGCCAGCAACCTTTACTATCAAAAGAACTATTTTTGGCAAAAATAAATAAATAAATCAGTCTGGAGCACTGAAACACATTTGAGCCTTTTATAATGCAGTTGCTCGCTGCAGATCAAGCATATCAGTTGTATTTTTGTATTTTGGAATCTATAGCCAGCTAGGGAGACTAAAGACTAGTAGCCACCGCAATCTGCAACTTCCCCACTAGATGCCACTGAATCCTGCACACTGGTCCTTTTTAAAGCTACAGAGCGGCTAAAGAGCCACGTGGCTCTGCAGAATTAAATGAACAAAAACAATATTAATACAAATTGTTAAAAAAATGAAATGGCTCTGTCAATGTGTGTATTTATGTGGAGGAAAATAAATGGACTATGACGAAACAAATATTCACTTTAAAATCTGTCCGTAGACGAAGCTCTTGCATCCATGGCTACCAGTCCACAAGTGCACCTGCTCTTTTCAGAAGTCTGTGCATTGAAATATGGTCATAGATAGTCTCCCCTCCTGGCACTCTGCTAGTAATCAGGATATTTATATCTCATGGTAGAGACTCACTTTCTATTGGTGTCTGATTCCATTTTCCTCTGCTGGGGCTTGGCTCCTTGGACCAGTAAGCTGCCCAGTAGAGCCCCAGCTGCAGCCCCAACAGCTGACCTGGTGTTCAACCCTGTAGCCACCCGGGAGGAGCCAGCAAGGGCCCCAACTGCAGCTCCGATTGCAGCGCCTCCAGCTCTCAACCATAACGGAGTCCAGTCGGCTTCCAGTTGCCTCACTTGGTTCGCAGTGTCTCTCTATGGATCCAGAACAAGAATCACTATATTAATATACCAGGTTACCATCCCAACATTCAGTAATATCACACAGTGCTTAAACTTTACTTATGTTGTGTGTAGTGATAATGTTTGAATTGAGTTGTGTCAGTTGGGTTAACTGATTGATTTTATCATATTTGCAAGAATCATCTGTGGACACAATCTCAGAACCTCCTACAACCCGACCTGCACAAGTTAATTTTCAAAATATTCTGATCTAAAATGCAGTTATAGAAGGACAAAAATGGCCAGTAGCACAAGGCTCAACACATTTATTTGTATATTTTTCTACACTTCCCAGTTGACTCTTCCACCACATACTCTTGCTTTTAAATCAGAGGTAGAGCATATTATGCACATAATACTAATTACTCAGAAGAACACTATCATTGCACGTTTGCTCAGGAAGCCATGACTCCTATCTATTAATTTCAAAATGTTGTTTGCTAAGAATAATGTTTTAAATCGTATCTATAACCACAACAAGGCACTCCAATTATACATAAAAGATCTGAAAAGCATTCTCTCATTTAGACAGAGGATACATGTCTGTATGTGCAGCAGGATTGTCTGTATTAGTATATTATATAGATATAACAAATCTGTTTGGGCTCAATAATTCTTTTGTGAAAAATGTCTAAAAGCCATTTTCACTCACCTTCTCATGTGGCACGATGTCATTGTCCAACACTGTCTGCCTTTTTTGTTCTGTCTCTGCAACTTAAAGAGTTTTGTGACATTAACTTATAAGCTAACAGTCATTCAGCGTTTATTCATCTAAATAATTACATCAGACTCAGAATCATTTTAGTCTGTGCCACCGAAGTCGTACTCACCGAGTTTAACTGCGTGGGGGCTCAATGGCAATGTGAACGCCCATTTTTGTTGTCGGCCAATCTCCTCCACTGACTTGAGGTCTTTTATTGTTTTCCTGTGGTAGTTGCCTTCGTTAAAGTACACAGTGTTCATGTCATTTGTTCCGTTTTCTTTTTTCTGATAGTGCCTCTGCATCCCTTCGATTGTGGCTTTCAAAACCTTCTTTGAATCTTCATTTTCTCTCGTTAGCTGTTCAATTGTGTCTTTGAGCTCTTTTGCTTCTCTTTTGTGATTCACCATCAATTGGTCCAGCTCTTTCTCTTTCGCCTTACACATTTTGTTCAAGGCTGCTGTCTCCCGCTCTTGTTCCTTCACTCTTTCCTCTAGCACTTCCTTTTCCACCTCACTGCTCTGCTGTGTAGCTTTAATAATATCTTCTTTCACAGCACACCTTTCACTCATGCTTGATATCATTCTTTCTTTCCCCATAATAACTTGTTTGAGCTGGTTGTTCTCCCTCTCAGCCTCCTCTAATCGTCTGCAAATATCTTGACAGTCTTTATTTTTCTTTTCTTCTGACTCCCTCTTCTTCTCAATTGTGGCCTTCAGAGCTTCAACTTGCTCATTTTGCACTTCAGCTGTCATAATAATGTCCTCTACTATCCTCTCCTTCTCCTTGACTGTTTGCCTCAGAAGATCATTGTCCGTCTTTGCCTTCTTGAGCTGTCTTGCAACTTTTTTGGAGCTTTGTTGCAGCTTCTTGTTGCTTTCTTGGAGTTTCATGAAACTGTGCAGCAAGTGTTCGGTATCATTCCTCACCTCGGTTTCCTCAATCTTCTCCAGCAGTTCTCTAACCTGAATGTGTCCGACCTTGTTTGAGTTACCAAAAACATGATACCTATTTCCGCATTTGTCCACCAACCACTGAAGGGCAGGCCATCTCTCAATGTGCTCCTCAATGGGAGTGACTCCCAGTTTGTCTCCCCAGGTGAACAGCACGATGGTTCGAGTCCACACCCAAGTTCCGAGCAAGCTCAAGTGTTGCTCCACTTTCAACCGGTCGGTTTCAGTGAAAGTCTCATCGCTGCGTACGACCACCAGGACAGCATGGGAAATGGGGGCACACAGAGATGCACTGTGAGTAATCTGCTGTTGGACTTCCTCTGGAGTGTCCTCTGAGCAGTATCTCCCATGCCAGCCAGGAACATCAACCACAGTGACTCGCTTTTTGTAAACGTCACTCAGTCTCTCAGTGCATTGTGATGTTGGATGTCCAGCAGGAAAGACTTCATCACCAAGAATGGTGTTTGCAGCAGAGCTCTTCCCAACCTGCTTTGGCCCCACAATGACAATCCGAAGCATTGAAATCGGAGGAGACTCTCCTGTATTAAGAAAATACAGGATTTAGGGAATACATTTTCTCAGGAATACATTGTAATCTTGTAAACAATCTCATGTTTGGAAGTACTTTGAAAACTGACAGTGACATTGGGTTAGGACAGGAAGGGATACTCGAAATCTCTTAAAAGGGAAAAGATTTGTTTGTTTGTCAGTTTTTTGATAATAAATGGTAGAACTGTGAAATTATTTCAGTTTATGAGTAGTTGTATTCAGGTTTTGGCCACTTGGGGGAAGCAAAAACAAGCACACAACACAGACACACTGCATGGCTACCTTTTTAAGTCAATAAGGCAACTAGTTAGCATGCAGTTGCTTATTTACACATCCAGCAGATACAAACATGAGCATTCATTTGGAGTTTTAAGTCAATATTCACTCCACTTTTAGCTCAGTTTTTTATCTGCATCTACTGAGGGAAATATCTGGCTCTTTAGCTGCTGGAGTGTTTTTTGCCCAAAAGCTACAACGCGAGAGTGAACCAAAACAGTACATTTGCAGGCAGTAAAAAACAAAACAATGAACTGAAAGAAGCTAAAAATATATGTAAAACAGAACAAAACTGTAGAGTCATGTGAATCTTTCTGGGGTCATCACTTAAAGTGACCCCTTTCATATTCCACATGGTCGTTCGATCCAGTGTTATAAAAGTATTGATTATAGCTGTTTTAAGAGATGCCTACCCATCAGAGATCTGAGTGTATTTCTGGTCATCTGCACATTCATTCGCCTCAGAATCGCCCTGTCTTCTACCTCTTTCCTTCCACTCTCAGTTATTCTGGAGATTTCCTCATTTGTTGTCACATAACCAACTCCTCCTGCCTTTATGTTCCCTGCAACCACTGCATCAATCTTCTCTAAAAGTTCTGCAACCTGAGTATCATCATCTCTTCCCCAAATGCTTGTGTCTAAAAGGTGGTATCTATGTCCACACCTCTCCAAAACTGCTTCGAGAAAACTGTATCTTGCAGCGTAGTCCTCTACAGACAACCCTTTCAGTCTCTCACATCTGGTGAATATTACTATTGTGTTTGTCCACACTGTGTCATTAAGCAGCTCAAGAGGACCGTCTACTGTCCACTCCCTGCCTCTGTGAGCACTGATGGGAATGACCATGAGGAAGGCGTGAGGTCCCGGTGGGCACATGGCCATGCAGGCTGACATGTTGTTCTTTACCAGGCCGGGGTCTCGGACAGAGTAGCAGATCCACCTTTCAGGGCTGTTGACGACAATAACTGTTCGGCCATCAGCAAGAGCGCCCTGTCTCCTAACACACATCTTCACGTCTCTGCTGATGTCAAACATCTGTCGGCCGAGGATGGTGTTTCCTGTCAAACTCTTCTCCAGCCAGTCGTGACCCAGGAGGACAATCCTCCGCTCCTGAAGACAGTGTTTGTCCCCTGCCAGCAGACAAGATTATTCAGCAGCTGTGCAAATATGTCATCATATTAATGTCCTGATAATGCAGAAGATAAGGCCTTGTACATGTTAATTATGCTGAGAATTGTACTCAGCAAATAAAGATTATTAGATAAATGAAGATTTCAATTTCCAAGATCCACAATTAACTTTCAATCTGAGTTTGAAAAAATGTAATACAATTGAAATCTGTAGAGCAGTATTGTGAAGTGGTTTTGTTTCTGAAGTCAAGAATGAACTTTCAATCTAAAATTGTAAGCCGACATTAATGAAAAAAAAAACTGACATAATGTAAATGAGTGATGAAAAAAATTGAAATTAATATTCCCTCACAACTGGGCAAACTGAAAAGCAGACAGCTACTAAATGGACCTTGTTGTTTAGTTAGGCCTGTGTTCTTGTTCTTCTTGCTCTGACAACTATAAACTTAATGTTATACAACTGTGAAAAACACACAATGCTACTATTCGACTTTAAAGATAAGAGCAGGTGTAAGTCAGGAGCATACCTTTCTGTGTCGATCCTCTGCTGCCCACTAAAATCCTTTCTTCCATCTTTTTATTCTGTCAAATACTTTTTCAAAACTGATATTTACATTACATTTTAAATCAGTTTTACCCACACAACAAAGTAACGTGTCATCCTGCACTTTAATGTTTGACTCAGCTTTCTGACAAGTGGTCAAAGTCCTGACAACACAACCAGTCATGTAACTCTTTAGTTATCAGATGTAATGTATCACACACAGTGAACGTATTTGTAAAAAAACTACACGTAGTAAGCATTATATTTAATGCCAGGGTCTGAGTTCAGTTCAGTTAAGGTACAGCTGTGAAAGTAAGTAAGTAAAACTTTAT